ACCCTTCAGCCAAAATTAGACAGGCCCATAAAAAAAAATGAGGCTTGAGGGGTACACCAGCCCAGAGGCAAGGACTAGAAGGCAGGAGGGGACAGGAAAGCTGATAACAGGGAAAGCAAGGTCGAGAAGGGAGAGTGTTGACATGTCATGAGGTTGTTAACAGATGTCATAAAACAATAGGTGTACCAACTGTTTAATGAGAAACTAGTTTGTTCTGTAAACCTTCATCTAAAGTACAATTAAAAAAAGAAGAAGAAGAAGAAGAATGCCTGGCACATGGTAGGGCCTCAAGAAATATTTATTGAATGAATTATGCCACACACACACCCGCTTAAAACATTTAAACCGGAAACAAAGGCGGCCATAACTACAGCATCAGCAATGTCTATGACACCAAGCCAGTGGTGTCACATCATGTTTAGAATAAAAGCCAAATTTCTCCTCGGGGCCTAGACACTCCCATTGTCACATGCTGCTCCAGCCATACTGGCCTTTTTGTGGCTCTCTTGGCCATGCCGAGCATGTTCTGCTCCAAGGCCTGTTGCAGAAGCAGTTCCAGCTGCCCAGAATGTATTCCCCCACCACTCATGTGGCTCATCCCTGACCTTCTTTAGGTCTCTACTCACATATCACCTCCCCAACCACCCCATCAAAACCTCCCTCTTTCACTCACTATGCCCCCACTCTGCTTTCTTTTCCTCATTACTCATTCCTGCCTGGCATTACCTTAAACATTGTTTAGGTATTGTCTTTTCCCTCTGAGAATGGTAGCTCCATAAGGGCAAAGGCTTTGTCTTTTTTGTTCACTATTGTATTCTCAGTGCTTGGAACTGTGCCCAGCACATACCGGCCACCCCATAAATATTTGCTGTTGAATGAAAAGAGTGGTAAAGAACTAAGGTGGGTTCTACCACAAGACTGTTGCTGGGGGTGAGACACAGTGGAGGCTTGGGGGACAGTCAAAGAGGTCTTTACCTGAACAGCCCTCTGAAACAGTGCCATGCAGGAGGAGACAAAATATAGATGAGGAGCTTGGTGATTAGATCAAATCCTACTAAGCAGATGCATTAGGATAACTTGGGGACCATGAGCAGTTGCCAAAGGTCATGGAAAGGTATATATGTCCTCCGCTGGTGCATGCAGCGCCCTTGTGTAAATGAGAATAGCACTGCCCCTTCCTCTTGGTGGACATAGCCTTGTGCAGGGGGCAATGTGTAGTGAGCTAAGCATAGGCTGGCTTTCAACTCATGCCCACCCCCATGGGCAGATGTTTTGTGCGGGGCATCCCTGTCAGAACCCTATGTGACAGTCTGAGGGTGTAAGAGTCAAGGTCTTCAGGACAAATGTGAGTGACCACCATGGCATTCCTTCAATGTCTAGTTTGGAAAAAACAAAACCAAACCTGAATTTCAGCATGGCGAAGAGACTTACCCAAAGTCACACGCCTACTAAAAGGTAGAGCTGGGATCTGAGTTCAGTCCTATTGGACAACTCGGTCTGTGAAATTGCACCACCCTTTTGCTACTCAAAGTGTGGCTTTAGGGCCAGCTGTATCGGTATCACCTGGAAGTTTCTAAGAAATGCAGAATTTCAGGCTCTGCCCCAAAGACCTACCGAATCAGAATCTGCATTTTGACCAGCTCCCCACGTAATTTCTGCACACATTAAGTTTGAGAAATACTACACTCTACTACTCCTGGATTTTGTGTTGTTCTATTGCTTTTTCACTCGACTTGGGGCTAGGTCACCTCTACTTTGTCCACCTGGCACATTAGCAAATGTTGCCCGCAGTACCAGCCAGTTTGCGATTTTAGAAAGAGCACTGGACACTGAGTTGTGTTTCAAAGGCTGTGTGATGTTGGATGTCTTTTACTACTAAGAGTGAAGGCTTCCTAATCTAGGAAATAATGGAATAATGACCAAGCACGTCTGTGGGGTTTAAATGACATGATGGATGCAAAAGTGCCTTGTCGATTGCAAAATTCTATCCAAAGCCAAAGGATCTTTGCTCCCACACAGTGTCTATGAAGGCCCCTGGCAGAGACCACTTATCTCTAGAACGTTCCACAAATTAAAAGGAGGGAGGAAATAAATAGTTTAAAGTCAGTAGATTCCAATCTACTCATCAGCAAAAATGAGGGAAAGCTTCAATGGGATGGAGTGACATAATAGCCACAATAATGGACTCAAACATACCAACGATCATGAAGATAGAGCAAGACCAGGCAACATTTCATTCTGTTATCTGTAGGATTGCCACGAGTCAGAGCTGCTGGACTGCAACTAACAGCAACAGATTCCAATCAGCAGGCTGGAATAGACACAGGAATTCATGGATTCATCTAGCTTACAGGGTAAACTAGCCGACAACTTGAGGGAGTTTCAAATAGGGCTTTGATAGTAGGGTTAGCTCCAGTTTGGGGAAATTTTGAAGGAGAAACGTGCGTAAGTGTTAGGTAGGGCATTCTCTAGGGAGGGAGACTTGCAGGGGTGTCACTGTAGGGGTGCCATGTGTGGTGAGTTGTTTGGGGATGGGAGAAAGTGACCTCATATCACAAGGCTCCTGTCAGTAAACTGCCTCCTCCCCAGCCTGGCTTCTGCATTTTTCATTTTGTCCAGATGTTCTGTCCCCTGTGGAAGTGGTCAGTAGCATTGGGGCCACTTGGCTGATCATGAGCTCAGGCAGTGCTGTTTACTGGGAAAAAGTAGCTCAGATCCCAGTGCTGTTCTTGTAAATTCAGCAGAGATCTTTGAGAGAAATGGCTGGCAGGGTTATATGGACATCACTGTCCACCTCCACCAAAAGGCTGGACAAAATGAGTGTTCAGTAAATTCTCAAAGAATGAATAAGTGAATGAATGAATGGAAACCTTTGCCTTCAGGAAGCTCTAGGTGTCTCAACAAACCCAGACCAACAAGTTGCCATTGAATTGACTCCAACTCATGGTGATACCATGTGTGTCAGAGTAGAATTGTGCTCCATAGGGTTTTCAATGGCTGGTTTTTCAGAAGCAGATTGTCAGGTCTTTCTTCCAAGGTACCTCTGGTGGGCTAGAACTTCTGACCCTACAGTTAGCAGCCAAGAACCTGTGTGTCAATGAGACCCACCTTAACTACCCTGTTACTCTCACTCTCTGCCACTCTCAATTCCCCTTCATTTGCTCTTTTTTTCTCTCTCTCTGATCTTCTCTTAACATACAATATAATTTACTTCTTTATTATTCATTATCTGTTCCCCCATGCTAAAATGGAAGCTCCACTACAGCATGAATTTTTATCTGTTTTAACCCACTGATATGCCCCTAAAACAGTGTTTGACACATAGTAGATGCTCAGTGAATATTTCTTAAGTTCAAGTAAATGAATGAGAGAATTAAGTTCTAGTCTAGTTCTGCCACCAAATCATTGTGTGACCAGGTGTACTCCTTCTTTATGTGCCTCAGTTTGCCCATCTGTACAATGATGGGGTTGGATCTATCTCTAAGGACACTTTCAGCTCTAATTCTGCAACTCTGTCTCTGTGACAGTCGCCTTTCAGGATGTCTTTGGAAGATTGTTTGCATGAAGTGGTAAAGACAGTGCTATAAAAGAAACCGACAGATCTGGGTGAGAGTTCTGGCTCTGACACTTCTTAAGCACTGAGATGTTGGGTGAGACACTTGACTTCTCTTCCATGTATCATGTTCCTAGCTCAGTGCCTGGCATGTCACAGGAATTAACTAAACATTCACTTCTCCCTTCCTCTCTCCATCTGGGCCTTATTCCCAAATGAGCTTCAGCTCACATAATCATGTAGCAACGGCCTGAAAGAACTTTGCAAACGGCAAAATGTTCCCCAAATGGAAAGGGTTATTATGGCTACACACACACCTAATTTCTGGGCTCCCTACACACAAATGAGAATAAAATCGCAGTTACTATTTATACCAAAACCATATCATGATTCCTAGGCTTCACTGCTTGTCAGAAATGTTGCACCTGATGAGACCAAATTCAAGCTGGGTTTCTCAAAGCCTAATTAAAACTCTATCATTGTGTCTAACATGTTGCCTTATTATTTTGGCTTAATTAGGGTGATGAGCAGGGGCTGGAAGCAGTAATTCCAGCAGTGCCGTGATGCAACATCTGGAGAGGAATGGGGCTTAGGCAGATGAGCAATTAAATCGAACTATACACATAGCAAGGAGCTTTGCATCTGACAGCTGTCTGGCCAGCCCCTCCGCAATTCAGAGGCTTGTGAGAGCCAGACCAACCTTCTCCCTTCTCCGCCTTTTCCTTAAGTATCAGGTACTGGTCAGACCCTTCGGAGAACATGGGGCAAAGCCACCACCTTGGGGAAGGCTCTGCCCGCTACATGAATTTTAGTCATTGGAGGAAGGAAGTGGGGACATTTGGTGGCAAGAGGAAACTAGTTCTTTTAGTGTTGGATTTGGTCAGCTATGGTCATGATGCTAATATGAATCATGCCAGAAAAACTCAGCCCTCTTTGAAATGTCATCGCTCTTCTCTTCAGTTAAGTGTGATCTGAAAATGGCCAATTATGCTACTGCTCCCAAGAACCAGCAGAAAGTATGGGACAAATGTCAAAAACCTTCCAGAACTCTCACCAATATCAAAGCTAGCTTATTGTAATAGTTAGGGTAGGTTAACTGCAGTAACAAATAGACTCTGTGGTAGGAAGCTTCTGAAATGGCTCCCAGCGATCTGCCCCCCGGTGTTCATGTTGTTGTCATTGTTGTTAGCTGCCACTGAGTCAAACCCAGACTCATGGCGGTCGCATGCACAATGGAATGAAATGCTGCCCGGTCCTGCACTATTCCCATGATCTGTTGTGGGTCAGTCAGTGTGGTCCTAGGATTTTCATTGGCTGATTTTTCCTGAGTAGATCACCAGGCCTTTCTTCCTAGTAAATCTTAGACTGGAAGCTTTGCTAAAACTTGTTCAGAATCACAGCAACATGCAAGCCTCCACTGATAGATAGGTGATGGTTGGGCATAGGGTACACTGGCCAGGAATCGAACCTGGGTCTCCCTCACGAAAGATGAGAATTCTACCACTGAACCACCAATGCTCCTAACCTGGTATTCACACTCCTGTGTAATTACATTCCCTTGAGTTGTGCTGGACAAAAAATTTGCTTTCAATGAATAGAATGTAGCAAAAAAGATGCGATTAGGTTACAAAAGACTGTGATTTTCATCTTGCTCACTTGCTCTCTCTGGCTTTTCTTGCTTGCTGTGATGAAGCAAGCTGCGTGTTGTAAGCTGTGCTATGGAGAGGTCCATGTTGCAAGGAATTGAGGGCTGCCTACAGCCAACAGCGATGAGGAATTCATCCTGCCAACAATCACATGAGTGAGCTTGGAAGCTGATCCTTCCTTCCCCAGTAGAACCTTGCTGATACAGCTCTTGCTGATGCTTTGATGGCAGCCGTCTGCGAGACTCTGAGCCAGAGGAACCAGCTAAGCCACACCCAGACTCTTGACCCACAGAAACTGTGAGATAATAAATGTTGTTTTAAGCAACTAATATTTGGGGTAATTTGTTACACAGAAATAAATAATTAATACAGACTCCAAGACGTATAGTGGCTCACATGCAAAAGAAGCTATTTCTAGTGCTTGTAAACCGTGCTTACGGAGACCTGTCATCTTCAACTCATGACTTCCAAGGTTGCCCCTTCAGCCAGTTGTGAGGGAACAAGAGCATGATGTTACATGTATGGGAGTTTTTAAGGGCCAAGTCTGGAAGTGGCACACATCATTTCCTCTCATATTTCAATGGTTAGAACTTAGTCTTAGGGCCACATCTAACTGCAAGGGAGGCTGGAAAATGTAGTCTAGCTGTGTACCCAAGAAGAAGAGGAAAATATGGATATTTTAAGAGAAGCTATTAGTCTTTGTCACACTTATGTACAACAGTATCTACATTCCAAAATAATACCAAGTCAGTATTACAATGTAAACGCCAGTCATTAAAGGACAAACTAACCCACAGCCCCATATTATTATGCTGGCCCCATAGCCCCTCACTGGTGTGGTCTTAATTTTAGAATCAAGGCCTTTTAGAGAAAGTGCTAGAGAGAAAGAGAAAGGGTAGATGGCTGAAGATTCCCTGATGCTTCTCTGAGACACTTTGCAAAAGGCATTCTGGACATGTTATGTCACCATATCAGTGTTTGCTCCCTGCACACTTTGTAATGATTTTTTAAATTGCTTGGGACACTTGCTAGAACCCAGGATTTTGTTCTCTAAAGACTCTCCTGTCCTGAAGGCAGCTTTCTTCATCACTGTCTCATCATATCAAAGATGGCTGAAGTAAAATTGATGGCCCCAGACCATATGACACTTTCCTTTCCCCAGAGGGATGGCTGCAGCTTCTGAGAAGGGGGCTCTGGGGAAGCCTAGCCCGTTCCAGAAAGGGTGTGCTTTCATTGTTAAAGGCAGAGTGCCCTTTTGGGGCTATTTTAGTCTTGTGTTGCCTGAGATATGGCCAGGCTGACCCGTTCCATTTCTTAAAGCTCTTATTTCTAGCACCTTTTAGAGTCTGTTTTCATGAGAAAGTATCTATCGATAAAACAGAGAAGAAAGAGAAGGAGCCCTGTGATCTCTTGCAGTTTCTTTTCAAGCCCACAAATTTGAGTTTGGGGTGAGTGGCTTTGCAAATTCTCTGCCTGTGAAAAGTTCATTTTAAGACCCACTGCCTTTAAAATTGCCAAATGGACTGAAATTTCCATTTCTGAATGAATAGCTGGCATTTTGAACAGTTTTGGGTACTCTGGCTCTATTCTCTGACCTTGGGCTGTGCCATGGTGATGTCTGAGCAACCATTCTTTTGGTGCCTGTTGGCTTGTGGTACCTGGCTGGGCGAAGTGGACATAGCACCCACTGGCCCCATTCCTGGGTCCAGAGTCTCTGACTTTAAGACATTCACAGTCTAGAAAAGGAGACAAACACAGGATTTCATAAATTCAACATAGTGCAGTGAGTGTAAGGTGGAAGTGTGCAGAGCATGCTATCGTGGTAGAGAGGAGGGCCGTCTCATCCATTCTGGAGGAAGGAAGGGAAGTGAGAGACAAGAAAGCATGGTACTTACTTGGAATCGCAAGTAGTAGGGGAAGGCAAAATATTGATGACATAGACTTTGGAGTTTGCAGTAAGAATTGGAGAAAAATAAGTATTGACAACAATTTCAGGAAGTTTTGATGAAAGAAAGGAGAGAGATCTGGTAGTAACTAGTTAGGGGTACAGGGAAGAATAAGATTTTTTTTAAGATGGGGTAAACCTGAACAAGTTTAAATGCAGTTGGGAAGGAGCTGAGAGTGAAGGAGTGATTAAAATATATAGGGAAGAGAGGGGATAAATAGAAGAAGATTCCTGAAAAATGGAAGGGAATGAGATCCAGAGAACCAACTGAAGTATTATTACTTTTAGAAAGAAGAAAAGACATGTAACTAACTGAAGAGAGGCAAGAAAGGATAGCTTTAGACTTAAGTAAACTTATACGTTTGATGGAAGAAGGCTGAGGTCTTTCTCTCTTTGAGGGCTTCTACTTTCTCTGCGAATTCATCTGCTTGAGCAATGATGAGGTGAGATTTAAGGATGGGTTAAAAATCCGCAATAGGCACTATGGAGAATGAGAGAGCTCTGAGCTGACACAGGAAATAGAAAACGATTGCTAGGCAGCATTGAGGGTCCATTTGAAGTCAGAGACCATAAATTTAGAGTGGAACCAGTGATTTAGAGTGACACCAATCTGTGTGGATTTCCAGCGGTGCTTAGCAACCAGAGATGAGTGATAATTGGATTCATTCGAAGTTGATGTTTGGCCAGAAGTTGAACTGGGGGGACACTGGGGTAAGAGTATTGGCAAGGGAGAAGTTGAAGTGATAAGAAATGGTATCTAAGATGGATCAGATGGAAATAAAGGCAGGCAGGGGCTCATATACAGAGAGAAATTAATGCTGGTACCAGGGACCAGCAAGGCAACATCTCAAGCTAATCTCTAAGGAGTGAATTTTCACGGTGCTTTATATAGACTGTGCTCCACAACCTACTGCATACTTCAACATTTTTCACAGTCCACTTCCAATCAAGATCCCACACCCCTGTTAGTATAAAAACTCATAGTGCATAAAGAGAAGTAGCCTTTGCTTGGAGCTGTGGAAAGGGCACGTAATCAATAGAAACAGGGCAGGCAAGCCCCCATATTTCCCCGAGACTTTCAGTAAATCCGAAAATCCCAGGAATCGTCTTCAATTCCCCTACATTCCTCATTTTGTCCCTGAATTCACTACCAACGCCTATTACTTCTAGTTCCTAATATATCTCAAATTTGTCTATTTCTTTTCATTTGGACTGGCATCACCTGGGTCCAAGACACCATTATTTCTGAGCTGGACCTTAAAAATAGCCTTGCCACTGGGCTCTGCCCTCTCAAATTCATTCTTCACACAGTAGCCAGGGCGCTCTTTTAGGAATATATATCAGAGCATATGTAGTCATTCCTATGCTTAAAATCCTTTAAAGATTTCCCATTGTTCTTAGAATAAAATCAAATTCCTTACCATTGAGTTCAGGAAAAGGAATCATGTAAAAAGTATTGTGATGGGAGGGAGCAGGGCAAATATGAAGTACCACATGGCCAGTGTGGGTAGGTTAGAGAGGAAAGCGTGAGGGATGAGGGATGTTCAATGGGCCTCTCAGGCTATGGCAAGGAGTTAGGGAAAGTTGCATTTTGAAAAGACCACCCTGGCTGCAGTGTAGAGATCAGACAGACTGGGGGTGAGAGTGACTTCAGTTAGAAAAGTTACAAAGATAATAGTTCAGGCAGAACTTGATGGCAACTTGGACTAATTTGATGCTGAAAATGGAGAGAAGCAAATGGATTTGAGGGAGATTTTTTGACGTAAAATGGAAGGCTTGGAACACTGTTTGTTACCCCCTGCTCCTATGTTTGCTGATCAATGCCTGCTCATTATTCTGAGGTCAACTTCAACCTTCTCAAGGAATCTTTCCCTAACATTCCAGATTAAGTCATACAGAGGCCCAATAAATGTTTGTGGAACTGATATGATAGAAGATATTCTTAAGATGGTAGAAACTTGATCATACATATGGACTAAGGGAAAAGAGCTGTCAGAGAGGGAGAGAGTAATGATATCAAAGAGAAGAAGTAATTGGTGGAGTGAGGTTCCAAGGAGCAAAGGGGCATGGAATCTGGAGCTCAGGTGGAGGGCTTAGCCTTGAATCAGATAAAACATGAGTCCTGTATGCCCACTAGGCTGGGATTACACTGAGGTACAGTAAGCCCAAATCCCTGAGTGGTGCGTACTGTTACCACGTTCAGTTGCCAACTGAAAGGTTAGTGGTTCATGTTCTCCCAGAGGTGCCTCAGAAGAAAGGCCTGCCAATCTACTTTTGAAAAATCAGCCATTGAAAACCCTGTGGAGAACAACTGTACTTTGAGACGCATGGGCTTGCCATGAGTGGGAATTGACTTGATGGTAACTGGTAACAGTAATCCCAGGCTGGTGACTTACACCAGTGGTTACCAGCTCTTCCTGGTTTGAAATTGCCTTATGAACTTCAGAATACTTCTTGTATTCCCAGATGTAGCTATACTTTTAATATCCATTGATTGAGAAAATACACAATAGCAAGAAGCCCCATGAATTCAGAAAAGCTTTTAAATGACATTTCTTTTTGTTAATCACAACTTTATTCACTCTCCTCTTACAATAGCACATGTGTGTGTGGAATATATATATTTTTTTCTAAGACAATACCTAGTGCAATCAAACTCTGCAAATTTGGGCGCCCTCTGCCCAGGCTCCTGAGTCAACAGATTGGGACTCGTGATCTAGTCTAGACCATCTTCTAACGGGAGTTGATAGTATCTGTGACTGTCTGTCTTCCCCTAGACTGGGAGATCCTTAGGGGGAGGACTCATGCCTTTTTTACATCCCCAGCACCTAGTACAGGCCATCAGACAAAACAGGTTTTTAAAATGCTAGTCGAATGAATGAAAATAGAATTATTTACTCGGTCATTTTATTATTATTTAAAGTAAG